ATTTAGCAATGACAAATTATATGTATAATTATCCATCATTGAACACAATTTATACAGTTTGTTATGCTGATTTAAAGTAACTTTTTTCCTCCGATTTCAAAACTCTAATCCAAAATTAAATTCTTTTTATTACAATTGCCAATATTCTAGAAACACCAAACTCCAAATGCAACATGCAAGCTGAAATTTTATTAAATAGCATAAAATTTTTTCAAAGACATAGCAAGAACTATTTCAATTTTATTGTAATACATAATTGCCCATACAGGAGCAGCATAACATAATACAGATAAAACCATTGATTGAAATAATTTTGTATAAATATAAGCAGAATTAATTTTAGCTGTTGAAAGAATCAGCCACGTAGAACCCAGCCATTTTAGCCTTATGTATACTTTAACTTTGGCCTGTAAAAAGTGCCCAGAAGACAAAAATTATACTCCTAGATATATGTAATTTGAGACAACTTGTAAAGGTTGGTTATTAAGAAACCATTTCTCTCTGGGTGATAAAATAGATCTAATATTTAATGGTTATGATTAGCTTTATCTAATATTGTCTTAATGATTTTTAGGTTTTTCCTGACTTTTAACTCCTAACTTTATACCTTGTATAAATAAAAAAGAATTTGTTTTGTAAACAATATGAAAATAATTCTGATTTGTTGTCTTGTTTTCTTATTGCAAGTAATATATATTGAATACAAGTCAAGTACTAAAAAGAAAAAACTGTCATAATGTTTAGAATACTATTCAGGAGAAAATATTTTCTTTTGGGATACTTTGTATATAGTGTGCTGTCATGTTGTAATTTTTTAATTAAAAAAATAAAAAATATTTAGAATATTAACTTATCATAAACATTGGATTTTATATACAACTCAAACAAAAAATACCATAGATAGTTGGATTTTAAACTGTTTTATATTTTGAACATAATAAAAGAAAAAAAGACAATAAATTTATTTACAAAAATTGTTCTATATTAAACCATGACCTTCATTAGCATAAATAACAAAATAAAAATGCAAATGCTTGCATATATTAAAAAAATTAATAAATACTTGGAAATACAAGTGACCAAGGAGAAAAACTTCAGGCACCACTAACATTGATAGAAAATACTTTAGACATTTCTGGTTAGTATCTGGTTCTATCACCTTTAGTCTGTATCACTGCATTTGCATATTCACACATTGTATTAAGCCTGACACTCATCTTGAGTAATTCCATCCCAAACTTCCTGAAATTTTTGATGCAAGGATTTCAAATGGAAAAAAAGATCTAGATTGATAACTGGCCAACTCAATCACATCAACACATTAATTTTGTGAATTAAAACTCCAAAACCTTTAAACGTCAAGTACTCAATTTAATAATAAACAAACGTTTTCGACCGTACTTTCAGTCTTCATCAGGTTTAAAAACCAGTTAGATTCGAACCTGTGCAAGCGTAGAACAATGATTATGAAATTAATTTTGAAAATTAATTTTGAAAAATGGAACAGCACAAACAGATTTTAAAAGAATACAGTTATGCATGTGCATTGCCATGGCGACAGAATGGCATATGTAATACATACAATTATATAAATATACATAAATAAATACACCAAATGGGGATGTGGTCTTTAATTGCTGGAGTGGGCGTCTCCCATTACCTCATAGCAGTACTTCCAAGCATGTGACACATTGACCGCATCATTAGCATTAATGCAATTGGTGTGTAACCTGGCTTTGTAAATTTCCAGTGCCTCCAGATAGTATGGGCAGCAATCTCCCTGTAAACTGAGTTGAGGTGATGATTGTACTCAACTACCGCACGAGACTGTGTTATTTACGTTGTGTGTTTCGTGGGCTGCTGCTTGTATGTTAGAAGTGTCGTGTGTGGCTATTCGTGATACGTATGTGCAGGTAAGGTCGTGTATCAGGTTCTTTCTATATATGGTCGAAAACGTTTGTTTATTATTAAATTGAGTACTACTGGATGTTTAAAGGTTTTGGAGTTTTAATTTATATGTTTTCCAGTATTCACGTAAGAAGATTTTAGTTAATTTTGTGATTTGCAAGTCAGGCCTTGTGGTCTCGGCAGTTTGGCAAGTTGTATGATCCTGTTGGAAAATTATATTTGGGTTTTGCAATTTTACTAGGTATAGAAAAAAAGGTTTTTTAAAGGATCTGTTGATATTTTTCTAAATTTGCTGTTCTATCAATATAATGCAGAAGGCCAAAACCTTGAACATAATACCATAGTACTTTCTGGAAACTTCATTATACAATTAAATAAACAGTCAAGAGGAAGAATTCATATTTTTCTTAGATCACTTTTTGTTGTTTCTGATGTAAACCTGAAACTTAGCTTCATTGCTGAAACAATGTTCCACTATTGATGCACTCAATTTTGACCTTCCTTTCTTCACTTCAGTCAATTTTTCATATGAGGCTTAATTAACACAGGTTTTCCTTTGCTTGAAAAGAAAATTCACATACTGACACAACCATTACATTCTCTTGCACTGTTATTTTACCTGATAAAACTTGTATTCAAGTTTCTGCAAATATATCCAACAAGTCACTTTAGTAACTTGTTTACTAGTGGCTGCATTCCATTCAATCACCAATTCTGTAAGTGATGTTCATCAGTTTTCTTTGGTAATTTTGCACAAGAACTTGAGATTGAAAGCTGCTACAATTTTTGATCATCCTGGATCAATATTATCAGTTTCCTTGTATTGATATAATATCAAAAACTATTAATTTGCCAATTTTTAACTATTTGATTCAAGACTTCCCATTTCATGATAATTTATAATTACTTCTGTAATATTGGAGTTTATTGCTTTTCCAGGTGCCATTTGTTTTACTGTATAATGTTGTAAAATTCACTTAAATTTTAAGTAAATATTGCTATTTATGTTTAACATATAAATTATAAGTAATTATATCCAATATTATTTAAAAAAGTAAAAATGTTTAATTTTTAGTAGTGTCTGAGGTATTTTCTGTCAATGCTAAAGGTATCTGAAGTTTTTTGGGGGTCATCTATGATTTCTTTAATAATTTATGTAAACCTTTGCATTTTTTTATTTAATTACATTTAATACAGTTTAACACAGAATAATTTTTGTAACTACACCTTTTTTGTTTTATATATTGCTATCTTTAAAATAAAATGCTGCTAATAATCAAGAGATGTCTAAGGTACTTTTTGTTTGACTTGTAATCTAAATAATTCAAATAAATATTACTGTACAGTATATTAAATATTTTTAAAATTTTGATTTTAAAATACAGTAGATCCCCTATAACACAGGTTCACATAATGCGGATTTGTATATCGCAGTGAAAAAATTGCGACCATATTCATATGAAGACGCTAAAAGAGACTTGTAAAATGCAGTAAAATGTCATCACCGACTCGTGTCGCGACAGGATTGTCAAATCTGGACCAATAGTGGATGAGCAGCCAAACTATTTACACGCTATGGAGAGTTTAGGCGAGTAAGCTCAGTTTACTATCATCTGTACAGTATATAGGCCTAAATTAGGTACTGTAAGTCTAATACAGTACTGTAATTTTATACATTTCTTGTGAAAAAAACATTTCTTATTTAACAGCCATAAAAATTATTTCTATTAATGATGTCTCCAAACGTCAACAAATTTTTTGCAGAAAAATAACTTATCAGAAAATGCGGCTGCCGTTTGGTGCGCTGCTCCACAACGAAAACAAGCTAAAGCAATGGCGTGGTCGAACGGTGCACACTTGATAAGTAATCCTACAATTTTTTGTTTATAGCATAGTTTATACAGATTATTCCCAAAAAATTATACGTGTTTTGGAAATGTGTGATACGTGTTTGAGTGAAATTACTCTAGAATCAATTAATTTTATGGAAGAAAACCTTTCAAACAGCTGTAGTCCGTAAACTGCACACCTGCCGGGCTGTGATTGGCTCATGTATTTGAGGATTCCTACAATGCGAAATTCTTATAAAGTGGAACATATCTACCGCGTTATAGGGGGAGTCGACTGTATCAATATTCCATTCCAGTTGGGTACAAATGACACATTTCCTTCTGATATTTTTATTTTATATTCTAAAAAATATAAAAGATTATACTAACAATAAATGAAACAACTAAAATTAGAAAATACACATTCAGGTAACATTGAAAATATAAAAGTTATAATTCCACAAAGTAATATATAATACAATAACTACTTTAATAAAATGCATAAAATATATACCTGAGTTATTTGTTGATTGCAATCATCAATCTCTCCTGCTTTTTGTTTATGTACAGATTGTCTGCCTTCACCTCTATTATAACCATATAAATATCCATGATCAAAGCTATAGGCAGATTTTTGAAGAGATATCCCCGTAGCAATTGCTGGCATTTCAATAGCTTGTGGTGGTGGAGCATGATGCAACACATGAAATGTTACATCAGGAAATCCAAATTCTCTTACTACACGCAACTGAATTTGTTTCATCACATCACAATGATTTGAAACTAAAGAAAAAGCTTTCTGTGCAATTTGATGTTGTTGAAGCTCTTCTTCACGTTTCTTCATCATTTTCAGTGTACAGTCATCTGAAAGATAAATTTTTTGTTTCAAAAACCAGTGCATTCCAATGTTAACAATTGAAATACAGAAAAGGCAACAGAAAGATAACTGAAGCAATAAAGGCATCAGCCTGCTGCTCTAGGAGACCCAGGACCAAGTACAGGTGCAAAATCCCAGAAATTTTTCATGGACAATCTATCCTGGATATGTCAGGCCCATGAAACTAGTGTCCTATCTTTGTTTTATATTTTATGTAATTTTTAATATTACAAATTTTAGATTTGTATTTTTTAAAATTATTATAGAGTCATTCCACAATTTAGGGTTTCAACCAATGCAAGGTTTCACAACCAATATGTAAATATCTAAATTTGCAAAAGCAATCCACAATTTGAGTATATAATTGTGTTAAAGTGTAATTTTAGTTCTAATTTAGGTTTTTATAAAATTACAGATTGTAATTCTATCATATATTTTATAGAGACTAAATATACAAGCAACTGATGAGGGACATTTCATCTAAAATGCATATTGTGATATAAAAGAAAAATAAATGATTTTGTCACACCAAAACCTTCACAAAATTAAAAGAAATAAGAAGTCTTTTTAGCATTATCATCTTTTAATAACTAAAAATAAATGTCCACACAAATACTTTAAACATTTACAAAAATGTCTTCTTTGGGTATACTCCAGAATGTTAAAACAATTTTTAAAATATATTGTTAATTTGTTCCATTCAGAACAAATTACAAAAATTGAAATTCCACAAAAGTATTGTGAAAAAATGTCATATTATAATTTCTTTTCTGAAACTTAAAAACTGAATTAAATTATTTTCAGTAAGGAACTGCTTTGTTCATAAGTTGGAAATTAAACGAAAATGTTAAAACCATTGAACCAACAAGACAAATCATACTACCATTTTATCTGAAGAACAGTTCTAATTTCACTTTTATTCACTATCTTGTTCATGTCCCCTAATTAACTAATACTACTTTTAACATATCTGAACTATATATAATCCATGTTATTCCGCTACATCTAATGTTCCTATTAAATACTGCCATCAGAAAACTATAAGAAAGAAATACCTTGTTCTGATGCATAAATATCAATTTTTTCCAAATGTTTGAAGTCATTTATTTATCCTATTCTTAACTTAGTATAATAAATTTTTATAAAAATTACATTATACTATTTATTCTCTCTAAATTTTTCATAATTACAATACGTTAGATTAAATGAAAATTATAAAATAATTTGTAAAGATAAAAGGAAACATATATGGGTGATAGGAAGAATATTTAAAGTTTTAAAAATGATTAAATCACCACTCCAGAATATTATCCATTAAAACAAGAAATAACTACTGTCTATCGGCATTAAACTGCTTAATGCCAATATACAATAGTTATTTCTTGTTTAAATGGGTTAAAGTTTTAATTTTAAATGTGTTAAAAACAGAATAGTTAAAAAACTTTTATTTATATCAATAATCGTTATTATATTATATCAGATTACTGAAAAAGTTACATTTGAAACAATAAAAATCAATCTTTTATTCTTTTACTAATAGTATGCAATCTAGTCTTAATCTTATAAAATTTTATGAAAATACATAATAATAAAATTTAAGATTGAGATCAAGTGCACCACAAAAAACAACTTTGTTTTAATTTAAAGAACTGCACTTGAGATATATATATATATATATAAAATACATTTCTGTGTAAAATATTAATTACATCTAATATACAATGTGTCCACAGTACATGCATGTTTCAGTGTTAAAATAATTGATACTCAGAATTTGCTATATAGTGCAAATTTCAGCACTTGGCAATATTTTTTTCACTCTGGTAAAATAAATCAGCAACTGGTAAAACAAACTGGCAATAATGTGAACTAACATCCTAGACTGATCATAAAGCTGCCTGAATGATAAAAGTACTGCCAAACAAGCAGTTACTTGTTTCAGATCAGAATGAAAATTATTGCTGTACATTATTTTCCACAATGATATCCAGTTTCTGTGTTAACAGAATGGTTCATGCCCAGGACACTGGTAACTATGGTTGTCCTGGATGAACTGTGCAAAGATATTTTGCAACCTGTGGCAATGGAAAAGTGTGAAGATTCTAATTTCCAAGACTACACTTGAAATTTGTTAACAATTATAAATTAACTATTTTCCATTGGCAGGAAAATGTAAATAAAAAAGTAATCTTCAGAAAAATTTTTTTGAAAAATTTATTTAGTTATTTGAAATTCTTAAATTTTTTTCAAAACATATAATCATAAAAATTTGCTATACCTTTCCACTATTGGCATTTTGGACAGACAGAATTCTTTATAAACTACTAACATATGGCAATAAATTTCAGTACATTGACATCATTCCACACACAAAAAGTATACATACAGCTTACATACTAATGTTTCCTGCAGGTTGTTAAGAGAAATGACTAAGCATTAATCCCTACTTTGTTGACATATGGCATTTCACTGTAAACAATGAGATGTCAAACTTTTTGAAGCTTCCATATACATAAAAATTTGAATTTTTTTTCTTAAAAACTGAAAGTATTCAGAAATTACTTTAAAAATTACTCACACATAGTATACAGAGTGTCATGAAGAGAAGAAAATCAGCTGAGATAGTATGGGTAAAAAATACCTATACTATCATCTCCCACACTTTATATGAATGTAAGTATTAGTCGTTTCAAAGATAGTTGTTTGAAAGTTGCTCACATACATATAATAATAAACAATGATACATATTATATTCAATAAGCCAAACAACTACCGGATAACATTGGGCTACTTTTCCATGATTATATTTAATTAATTTCTAAATAATTTGTCCTAGAGGGAGGCATTAGGTGCCAACTCTTATTAAATTTAATAATTATAATTAAATAAAATAATTTAGAAAATTCTGGAAGAAAAGAATCAGCCAAGAGTGGGACTCAAATCCACAACTGCCACTTACTGAGCAGATGTGTTGCCATTTATACTATTTGAGCCTCCAATCTGATCTCCTCTTCCAGGTATATGTATATGTTATATTCACAACAGAATGCACAAAAATTGAACCATAAATCTCAATACACATTACAACTTGTGTCCAAAGATTATTATTGGAATGGCTGAAAATGAATGTTTACCAAAGCTGAATACACAAGAATTGCTTGATTGTATTTTGGATGCTGCTACTCATGTAAAAGAAGGGCAAGCTGCACTCAGAGAAACATATCATCTTTAGACACAAATTGTACAGTGTAATGAGGCACACAGTTCAATTTTTGAGCAATTGTGAATGTAACACATTTATCATTCATTATTACTATATGTAAATAAGAAACTTAAAAACAGCTGTATCTCAGAAACTATTGAGAATACTATTTATGTTAATATAAAATATTCTGTTTACAATGATCCATACTATCTTCTCTTAACTGATTTCCCTTTTCTCCTAACTCTTCTTGTGTATAAGAATGTTTTTGTGTTATGATTAATCTAGTAATGATAAAACAAATGGAAACATTCATTTACCTATTAATATTTCTTTTATATGTTCACGAGCTACAGTTGAACAGAGATGACCAAAAGGTACAAACCCCTCTTGAAGTGCAAGAGGTTTTTCTACCATATATAATGTATCAGGAATGTGAGAAATGGGCCAAACTCTGCGACGTCCAACTTCTGCTTCTTGTCCTAACTGTTCTTCTAGCCAAGCCTTTGTAACAAATTGAAAAAATAAATAAATTTCATAAAAGATCTTTTTAATTTTTAAAAACTTCTTAAATTCTTTTACCTTTGCTTCTTCCACATAGGGAGTAAATAATCTGGGTCGAACATAAAGACCTCGACTACCTCGACTCCTGATCCATGTATGTGTTCTCATACATGAATTGTGATCAATACAGAAATCATCTCCCAACATAAATGAAGGTGGAGTACTAATAAGTCCTCTTTTAATAGTAGACATTAACAATTCACTATCTGGTGGTAAAATATGGTCTATACGTACATGACAAAGAAGATCAGAAAGTAATTCTCTCAGTTCTAGATCACTTAGATCTCTTTTACGAAGACCCCTTCTACTTACACTATGAGCTGTATGACTGACTATATTTGGTTCTAGAAAGCAAAATGTACACTTTAAAACTAAATTATAATTTTAAATAAAAAAAATATAAAAGATTTTTAAAATAAAAATTACACAGACAAATAAAATGATAAATAAAAATATACATTTGGTTATAGCATAATTTAAGAATTTATCAAATCCACTAACCTCTCTCCTCCACTCTTTTACAAAGTTGCTGTTCACCCCATTTCAAAACAGCTTGCAGAATTTCAAGTTCACTTGCCTATAATTGATATACAATTTTTTTTTATAAAAGAAGAAACATAATAGTATAATTAAGATAACTGTTTTTAATACATGTATATTAATTTAATAATTTATTTTTGTATTATATAAAAATAATAATTTTATTATTATTCCATATCAATCATCTATCTGAAGTATAGTAATATCTCAGTTACCACCATCATAAACAGTACTACTTCATTATGCTGCTACTGTATTCAGTGTCAATTTCACCATGAATATTTTTTTTTTAAATGATAAAAATTAACAGAATTATTTAAAATTTGCAAGTGTAAGCAATCACAAATTTAATTATTATTATTTATTTTTCATTCACCAAGTCTAACAAAACTTTTACATATCTATATATTCTTATTGCTTTTTCAGGTTCCAAGAACAAAGCAATCAGACAAAGAAATAACATCAACATAACTTTTTGCTAATGAGAACTGTTTCATGAAAGACAATTCAAGATTAAGGTGCATCCCCTAAATATAAAGGCACTAATAGATTTCTGTATAAAATTATTCACACTGAAAACTTTGCAAAAATAATTTATTTTTGGCTTGCTTGAACTTTCACAAATGCATATATAACAATTTATTAAGATAGAAAGAAAATAAACAACAATTTGAAAGAATTACAATCAATTGACTGTCCCAAAAATATAAAGGCACAACAAAATTAACTGAAACAATTAATGACACATTAATAAATTATATTTAACAATAACCTAATATACAATAAAGCTTCCTTTGGCTAAAACACCTTTGTAAATGTGGTCTGGTATTGAGTGTATGAGTTTTTGGAGGACAAATATACTTATCTCTTCTAGTGACAAGTTTTAAGCTAGTTTTAGTTCCTCCACAATATTATATTGATGCCAATTTACATATATGGCTCTAGCCAGAATTTCCATTGGATTAAGATCAGGAAATAGGCACCCAATTAGCTAAAAATTCTATAGTTTTTAGCATTCCCATTCACACAGCAAACTCTATATAGCTCTATATAGTAAGTTATATAGAGTTTGCTGTGTGAATGGGAGCAGTGTCCTGCTGAAAGAACCATTGATTCCCAGCAATACATTCTGCAAAAGGCAAGAGATTGCTCACCAACATGTCCTGATAATCATTTGCTTTTTGTATGCCTTTGTAAAAAATCAAGCAGAGTCTTTCCTTAGTAAATAAAACCACCACACACCAAAAATGATCCACCATCTTGTTGTTTGTCATATAGTCTTTCCTCCCTTCTCAAATCATGCCAGTAGTGGCTCCAACATCTGGACCATCAAGGTTAAACTTTTTCTCCTCACTCCAGNATAATAATTTAAAATATACACACTGCAGTATGGAAATGTAAGATTTGGCATAATGTACAATATTTTTGAAAATTTTTGATTATCTTTGATCAGTCTAGATATGGAAGAGCCAGATGTGGGAGAATTTATTGTATTTATAAATTGTAAAGCATCTATAGAAAAGTAATATGAAAACAAAAATTGAAATACAGTTAGAAATATTTTTTGTTTCTGTAGCAGAGTCCAGAAAATCAAGTTAAAATTTTAAAACTTGATTTTAATTTTTACCATTGTTAGATAACATGGAAAGCTGATATTCAAATAGAAGATAATGACAATTGTGATGTCTGTAGATCAACATGACAGACAACAAAAACAAAATTTTCTTTACCTGTAAGGAAATGTAAATATATAACTATATTCAAAAACTTTTCAATATTCATTGATGTTTAACTTTCAAAAAGATACACAAAAGTTTAGAAATCAAGCATATTGTGTAATTCACAAACACATTCAGTCCTTGACTTAAAACTATTTGTACTTATAATAGCTAAAACTAGGGCCATAAAAACTTATTTTCAAGTCAAAACAGCTACACTTGATAACAACACGGTATGATTATCTATACTAATATTATAAAAAGGTAAGTTTGTAAGTTTGGATGTAGAAGGTAATCTCTGAAACTACTCATCCGATTTCAAAAATTCTTTCACCAATATTTAGAATGGACCTTTAGGGTGGACATAGGCTGTATATTATTCTGTTAAACATTCATATAAATTAAAAGATATCATCTAGGTAAGCGTTATATTTCTGGTGTCAGCAGGTGCTGAGGAGCAAGATGCGTAAGTATACGAGACAGGGTAATCGCGCGACACAGTCGTGTGGTTGGCAAGATACGCAGTGCACTTGTCCAAACTTGTGCTGTGTAATACAAGGCAAGTGTGAAAAATTAATATCAAATTATCTCCATTCTAACTAGGAACATCATCACTAACAATGTCACTAATAGAACAAAATGATGGCAATTAAGAATGAGAAAACTTTTACATGATTGACATCTTTATGTTCTTATCCTTCTTTTATTGACAAACTGGATTAATTTGTGTCAAACAGGTAATTGGACAGAAGAAAACTGTTTCCTGAGATTGCATTTAAAGTCTGTTTGTTTAGCTTCTTAAATGCTAAACAGGATTAGATAATGAAACAAAGAATTATAGAAAGTACATTTACAAAAAGTACACAGTTGCTAGTTTGAACACAATCTATGCATAAAACATCCAAAACAATTCAATATATAATCTCAGTAAGCCTACACTTCTCACAGACAGACACTTTTAATCAGCACAATCAGCCAGAAGAACACACCAAGCTCTCTTCTGAAAGCACCATCTCATTGAAAATCTAATATATGAATAAATATGAAGTCAGTCAGTCTTAAAGACTGAAGAGTATGAATTGTAATATGGTAGAACTATCATACCTGACAGCAAAGGGATAATAGACTAGATATAATTCTAATAAATAAGTAATATAGGATCACCTATCTTTTTGATATTTTAATACATACATACATACATACATACAAGAAAGACTTTGGCCGTACATGAGGTGTTTAGCCAGCAAAAAAGAGGGTAAGGGAAGGGGGAGGGGAAGAAGAAGGAAGAGGAGATAGATAGTAGAGAAAGGTAGGATCTCGCTGAACAGCATATGTATGACTAAAGTACCCTCTATTTTGATGTTGGCGTGCAGATTTAAGGCTGCAAGGCCATAGTCTCCCGAAGGGTTTAAAAGAAACCTGAGTGTAGCGAATACCTATTTTAATTAATACATAACACAAACAATTCAAAGACAGTCATAGTTTAATGTATTAATAACTCTTCATAAACCAGTAATTATTAAAACTTGTCATATTGTTAAGTTTCTTAACATTCAGTAATGTATGGTTACAAACTTTGGTCAGTACTTTTAGCATTGGCCAAAGATCTCTCTACCTTCTAATATAACAAATTTAAAATATAATGATGATAAATTTTATTTAATATGATATGAAAATGTAACTTCATAAATTTTAAAAATTCAACCTACTTGTAAAAAATCAGATTTTACAACTTCTAATAAATGATTTCTTTCCAACTGAAATAATGTTGGTGAAGCAGCTACAGAACTGAATTCTTCACGAATAAAATTTAAAGCTTGTCGATAAACCCAAGGAGAACCATGTGGTTGTTCACTCCATTGTAAAACAGGCACAAGTGTTTCCAGTGTAATTGATTCAGCAATAAAATCTTCACAATCTATTTTAAAATAATTCTAATTTAGAACAATTTAACAAAAATATACAAATAACTTATAAATCTCAGTTCATTTTAGTTCAGGAAAGAGGTGAAGTCTTCACACATTAAAAAGTTTTAAGCTGGGTGGAAGTCTTCACTACCTTTAAACACCACTGCAGTATGGAAATGTAAGATTTGGCATAATGTACAATATTTTTGAAAATTTTTGATTATCTTTGATCAGTCTAGATATGGAAGAGCCAGATGTGGGAGAATTTATTGTATTTATAAATTGTAAAGCATCTATAGAAAAGTAATATGAAAACAAAAATTGAAATACAGTTAGAAATATTTTTTGTTTCTGTAGCAGAGTCCAGAAAATCAAGTTAAAATTTTAAAACTTGATTTTAATTTTTACCATTGTTAGATAACATGGAAAGCTGATATTCAAATAGAAGATAATGACAATTGTGATGTCTGTAGATCAACATGACAGACAACAAAAACAAAATTTTCTTTACCTGTAAGGAAATGTAAATATATAACTATATTCAAAAACTTTTCAATATTCATTGATGTTTAACTTTCAAAAAGATACACAAAAGTTTAGAAATCAAGCATATTGTGTAATTCACAAACACATTCAGTCCTTGACTTAAAACTATTTGTACTTATAATAGCTAAAACTAGGGCCATAAAAACTTATTTTCAAGTCAAAACAGCTACACTTGATAACAACACGGTATGATTATCTATACTAATATTATAAAAAGGTAAGTTTGTAAGTTTGGATGTAGAAGGTAATCTCTGAAACTACTCATCCGATTTCAAAAATTCTTTCACCAATATTTAGAATGGACCTTTAGGGTGGACATAGGCTGTATATTATTCTGTTAAACATTCATATAAATTAAAAGATATCATCTAGGTAAGCGTTATATTTCTGGTGTCAGCAGGTGCTGAGGAGCAAGATGCGTAAGTATACGAGACAGGGTAATCGCGCGACACAGTCGTGTGGTTGGCAAGATACGCAGTGCACTTGTCCAAACTTGTGCTGTGTAATACAAGGCAAGTGTGAAAAATTAATATCAAATTATCTCCATTCTAACTAGGAACATCATCACTAACAATGTCACTAATAGAACAAAATGATGGCAATTAAGAATGAGAAAACTTTTACATGATTGACATCTTTATGTTCTTATCCTTCTTTTATTGACAAACTGGATTAATTTGTGTCAAACAGGTAATTGGACAGAAGAAAACTGTTTCCTGAGATTGCATTTAAAGTCTGTTTGTTTAGCTTCTTAAATGCTAAACAGGATTAGATAATGAAACAAAGAATTATAGAAAGTACATTTACAAAAAGTACACAGTTGCTAGTTTGAACACAATCTATGCATAAAACACCCAAAACAATTCAATATATAATCTCAGTAAGCCTACACTTCTCACAGACAGACACTTTTAATCAGCACAATCAGCCAGAAGAACACACCAAGCTCTCTTCTGAAAGCACCATCTCATTGAAAATCTAATATATGAATAAATATGAAGTCAGTCAGTCTTAAAGACTGAAGAGTATGAATTGTAATATGGTAGAACTATCATACCTGACAGCAAAGGGATAATAGACTAGATATAATTCTAATAAATAAGTAATATAGGATCACCTATCTTTTTGATATTTTAATACATACATACATACAAGAAAGACTTTGGCCGTACATGAGGTGTTTAGCCAGCAAAAAAGAGGGTAAGGGAAGGGGGAGGGGAAGAAGAAGGAAGAGGAGATAGATAGTAGAGAAAGGTAGGATCTCGCTGAACAGCATATGTATGACTAAAGTACCCTCTATTTTGATGTTGGCGTGCAGATTTAAGGCTGCAAGGCCATAGTCTCCCGAAGGGTTTAAAAGAAACCTGAGTGTAGCGAATACCTATTTTAATTAATACATAACACAAACAATTCAAAGACAGTCATAGTTTAATGTATTAATAACTCTTCATAAACCAGTAATTATTAAAACTTGTCATATTGTTAAGTTTCTTAACATTCAGTAATGTATGGTTACAAACTTTGGTCAGTACTTTTAGCATTGGCCAAAGATCTCTCTACCTTCTAATATAACAAATTTAAAATATAATGATGATAAATTTTATTTAATATGATATGAAAATGTAACTTCATAAATTTTAAAAATTCAACCTACTTGTAAAAAATCAGATTTTACAACTTCTAATAAATGATTTCTTTCCAACTGAAATAATGTTGGTGAAGCAGCTACAGAACTGAATTCTTCACGAATAAAATTTAAAGCTTGTCGATAAACCCAAGGAGAACCATGTGGTTGTTCACTCCATTGTAAAACAGGCACAAGTGTTTCCAGTGTAATTGATTCAGCAATAAAATCTTCACAATCTATTTTAAAATAATTCTAATTTAGAACAATTTAACAAAAATATACAAATAACTTATAAATCTCAGTTCATTTTAGTTCAGGAAAGAGGTGAAAGTCTTCACACATTAAAAAGTTTTAAGCTGGGTGGAAGTCTTCACTACCTTTAAACACCAAGCGTATAGTCCTGATTTAGCACTGAGTGACTTCTACTTCTTTCCTGAACAGAAAAAGTGACTAGGAGAGCAGAGGTTCGAGACTAATGATAATTTTCAAAAAAAAAAAAAAACATTAGGGCCCATCTCAAGTCATTCGCGGCAACATTCTATGACAAGAGGATGGAAAAGCTCATCCACAGATATGACAAATGCCTCAATCTTCACAGTGATTATGTCAAAAAGTAACCATGTTTGTACCAATTCATATTTTTACATTAATTTTAAAATACACTGTGCAAAATAGTCTTTATTAAATCTACAATCTACTGATTATATAATTTTATAATTTAAAAAACATAATACTTATATCTGTAAATGTTCGTCCGATGGAGAATTATTTTTAATAAAATTGAAGACAAAACTGTCCGAAAAGGATCACCATTCATTATTTTTTGTGTTCCAATACTAGCACATTCTCGGTGACTGGCCTTTCTTTGTAGGCTGCTTGTAGCCAGAAAATTACAGAGAGTCCTTTTAATGATCATTATGCTGACGATCACGCCAAAATACTATATTGTAAAAAGAAGACACTGAGGTCGGCGTTACGTGTGCATTTTTTAATAGTCCTTTTAAAAAACACAAAACACATCCAATTAAAATTACAAAAATTTCTGAAAAAGGAACTGGTGACATACAGTTGTTCTGCTTACATCCATCTATACCTTCTTTTGGGGGTTTCTTCTGCTTTTTATCTACTAGAAATTGGTGCTGGAAAATGTAGATTTTTAGAAAAGCTGCCCCCTGGTGACAATACATGTAGAAATTTCTGTAAATGTTCGTCCACTGGAGAATTATTTTTAATAAAATTTAATTTTCCAGCACCAATTTCTAGTAGATAAAAAGCAGAAGAAATCCCCAAAAGAAGGTATAGATGGATGTAAGCAGGACAACTGTATGTCATCAGTTCCTTTTTCAGAAATTTTTGTAATTTTAATTGGATGTGTTTTGTGTTTTTTAAAAGGACTCTTTGTAATTTTCCAGCGACAAGCAGCCTACAAAGAAAGGTCAGTCGCCAAGAATGTGTTAAGTCTTGGAACACAAAAAATAATAAATGGTGATCTTTTTTGGACAGTTTTGTCTTCAATTTTATTAATAATACTTATAATTAACGTTGCCCTACTCAGGCAACTTTAATTACAAGTATTACTGTATAGAGCCTGTTCTCATTGACGTATTTTGATGAAACTTGGTATATACGTTATATGGACAATGGGGAAAAGGAAAATGCAAAAAAATATTTAGTTCAAATTTCTACCACTAGGTGAAAAAATGGTGCATGCAGCTGATGCTATGCAAATTAAAACCCTTTTAAAAAGCCAGTAGTCAATGTTGTTCTTTATCATGTCTTTACAGAAGAAAGATCAAGCTTTACTGGTAAAGTTGTTTTATCAGAATAGCAGTAATGGTTTGGCTGCAGTATGAGCATATCGACACATGAAAAGCTTGTGAATAGGGCCTATGTAGGGGATATGGTTTGAGAAAGATGATTACCAAATTTGAAGAGACTGGAAAGTTGGGAGTATTGCCAGGAAGAGGTTGGAAAAGGATTTCAAATGAAACTGTGGAGCAAGTCGCCATTGCTTTGATTGACAGAGCAAACGCTTCCCAACAATTGCTCGAGCAGTGTTATGTGATTTGTCTCTTCCTTGGTCTACAGTTCAAAAATTTATGCAATCCATTTTACAGTGGTATCTGTACAAGATCCACATGTTCCAAAAGATGCACCATCAAGATCTAAAACAACGCATAGAGTTTGCTTGCTGGTTTTAGGCCAGATTAGCCATTGACAATGCACGGCCATGGAACATTTTGTAGTCAGACGAGGTGCATTTCACCATAGACAGAACAGTGAATACTCAGAACTGTCACATATGGGGGTACTGTAAGACCTGATGTTGTGCATGAACAATCTCTGCCCTCTGCTTACATCACTGTTTGGTGTAGTTTCAATTTGACTTCATTCTTGGTCCCTTTTTCTTTGAGAAGATCACACTTCAAGGCCCTAAAAGGTGTTCTGTGATAAACCTGTTACTGTGAACTTCTACTGCATCATGTCATTCCTGCTTGACAAGAACGAGGATGTTTAGAGACTACTGTCTTCATGCAAGATGGGGTGACACTACATTTTGCCCGACAAGTGAAGGAACTGCATCATGACAAATTTGGAGATGATCGGGTAATTTTGATTAGTTTTCAGAATGTCTGGCCTCCTCATTCTCCAGACTTGAATCCCTGTGGCTTTTTATTGTGGGGATATCTGAAAGATCATGTCTATAGAGGAGGCATACGGAATCTGTCTGAATTGAAAGCAAGCATAATACACTATGTTGCTGCAATTCCTCAAGAAACCTATCGGGCTACTGTTGAACATGCTGTAAGGTGCTTTGAACATGTGATTGATGCAAATAGATTGCACATTGAACAAATGTTGTGAATAAAAACCTTTTGCGTGTTCCCATTTTACGTTTCTTGTTCTTCATGCACCATTTTTTCACCTAGTGGTATAAATTTGAACTAAAATGTTTTTTTGTATTTTCCTTCCCCCATGCTCCGTCCATATAATGTATATACCAAGTTTCATCAAAATATGTCAATGAGAACAGGCTCTATACAGATCTGAATAGGGTAATAATTATAATCACCTTGTACAACTAACTCAATAACCTAAAGACAACAATAAGAACACTCACTTTAAAACAGCAAACATTCTCTTCCATCTTGAATGGGCATCCTCAGGCTAATGTTAGAAAACAGAACTGCTTTTTTGGATCAAGCATATTTGAATCTGTTTGTTCCAAAACTTGCAGTTCTATTTTTGAACATCAGCCTGAAGATATCCATTCAAGATGGAAGAAAATGTTTGCAGTTTTAAAGTGAATGTTCTTATTCCTGGTTTTAGGTTGCTGAGTTAGACATATTGTGAAATTAACTAGTATCATAGTAGCCTTATAGGTTACTAATATATGTTTTAAGTCATATTTATATTTTGATAAATTACTATATTTTCATGCAAATAACAACATTCTCTTATTTTGAAAAATTGCTGTTTTTTTTTTTTTTGAAATACATGTCCTACTTTGTTTATAAGAGCATGCTCTGCTGTGTGCCAGCTTGTTTTGGCATATAAGAGCACTGAGATGCTGTGCCAATAAAATGTTAATGGAAAACGATGTCCTGCAAGTAGTCTTCTTAGGGCATCACTGACAGACTCTATGGGATTCAGGTCAGATCTAGCTGAGCACTTCATTCTCTGGATATTCTCAATTTCAAGGTATTTGTTGATTAGCCCAGTTCTGTGTAAACAACTATCATCATTCATAAAAAAACAAACTTGCAAGTTGAAACTTCTTCAGAAAAACTTCATACAGGATCTTAAGATTATTTTGCATATTTGGATAAGNTAATTTAGAAAATTCTGGAAGAAAAGAATCAGCCAAGAGTGGGACTCAAATCCACAACTGCCACTTACTGAGCAGATGTGTTGCCATTTATACTATTTGAGCCTCCAATCTGATCTCCTCTTCCAGGTATATGTATATGTTATATTCACAACAGAATGCACAAAAATTGAACCATAAATCTCAATACACATTACAACTTGTGTCCAAAGATTATTATTGGAATGGCTGAAAATGAATGTTTACCAAAGCTGAATACACAAGAATTGCTTGATTGTATTTTGGATGCTGCTACTCATGTAAAAGAAGGGCAAGCTGCACTCAGAGAAACATATCATCTTTAGACACAAATTGTACAGTGTAATGAGGCACACAGTTCAATTTTTGAGCAATTGTGAATGTAACACATTTATCATTCATTATTACTATATGTAAATAAGAAACTTAAAAACAGCTGTATCTCAGAAACTATTGAGAATACTATTTATGTTAATATAAAATATTCTGTTTACAATGATCCATACTATCTTCTCTTAACTGATTTCCCTTTTCTCCTAACTCTTCTTGTGTATAAGAATGTTTTTGTGTTATGATTAATCTAGTAATGATAAAACAAATGGAAACATTCATTTACCTATTAATATTTCTTTTATATGTTCACGAGCTACAGTTGAACAGAGATGACCAAAAGGTACAAACCCCTCTTGAAGTGCAAGAGGTTTTTCTACCATATATAATGTATCAGGAATGTGAGAAATGGGCCAAACTCTGCGACGTCCAACTTCTGCTTCTTGTCCTAACTGTTCTTCTAGCCAAGCCTTTGTAACAAATTGAAAAAATAAATAAATTTCATAAAAGATCTTTTTAATTTTTAAAAACTTCTTAAATTCTTTTACCTTTGCTTCTTCCACATAGGGAGTAAATAATCTGGGTCGAACATAAAGACCTCGACTACCTCGACTCCTGATCCATGTATGTGTTCTCATACATGAATTGTGATCAATACAGAAATCATCTCCCAACATAAATGAAGGTGGAGTACTAATAAGTCCTCTTTTAATAGTAGACATTAACAATTCACTATCTGGTGGTAAAATATGGTCTATACGTACATGACAAAGAAGATCAGAAAGTAATTCTCTCAGTTCTAGATCACTTAGATCTCTTTTACGAAGACCCCTTCTACTTACACTATGAGCTGTATGACTGACTATATTTGGTTCTAGAAAGCAAAATGTACACTTTAAAACTAAATTATAATTTTAAATAAAAAAAATATAAAAGATTTTTAAAATAAAAATTACACAGACAAATAAAATGATAAATAAAAATATACATTTGGTTATAGCATAATTTAAGAATTTATCAAATCCACTAACCTCTCTCCTCCACTCTTTTACAAAGTTGCTGTTCACCCCATTTCAAAACAGCTTGCAGAATTTCAAGTTCACTTGCCTATAATTGATATACAATTTTTTTTTATAAAAGAAGAAACATAATAGTATAATTAAGATAACTGTTTTTAATACATGTATATTAATTTAATAATTTATTTTTGTATTATATAAAAATAATAATTTTATTATTATTCCATATCAATCATCTATCTGAAGTATAGTAATATCTCAGTTACCACCATCATAAACAGTACTACTTCATTATGCTGCTACTGTATTCAGTGTCAATTTCACCATGAATATTTTTTTTTTAAATGATAAAAATTAACAGAATTATTTAAAATTTGCAAGTGTAAGCAATCACAAATTTAATTATTATTATTTATTTTTCATTCACCAAGTCTAACAAAACTTTTACATATCTATATATTCTTATTGCTTTTTCAGGTTCCAAGAACAAAGCAATCAGACAAAGAAATAACATCAACATAACTTTTTGCTAATGAGAACTGTTTCATGAAAGACAATTCAAGATTAAGGTGCATCCCCTAAATATAAAGGCACTAATAGATTTCTGTATAAAATTATTCACACTGAAAACTTTGCAAAAATAATTTATTTTTGGCTTGCTTGAACTTTCACAAATGCATATATAACAATTTATTAAGATAGAAAGAAAATAAACAACAATTTGAAAGAATTACAATCAATTGACTGTCCCAAAAATATAAAGGCACAACAAAATTAACTGAAACAATTAATGACACATTAATAAATTATATTTAACAATAACCTAATATACAATAAAGCTTCCTTTGGCTAAAACACCTTTGTAAATGTGGTCTGGTATTGAGTGTATGAGTTTTTGGAGGACAAATATACTTATCTCTTCTAGTGACAAGTTTTAAGCTAGTTTTAGTTCCTCCACAATATTATATTGATGCCAATTTACATATATGGCTCTAGCCAGAATTTCCATTGGATTAAGATCAGGAAATAGGCACCCAATTAGCTAAAAATTCTATAGTTTTTAGCATTCCCATTCACACAGCAAACTCTATATAGCTCTATATAGTAAGTTATATAGAGTTTGCTGTGTGAATGGGAGCAGTGTCCTGCTGAAAGAACCATTGATTCCCAGCAATACATTCTGCAAAAGGCAAGAGATTGCTCACCAACATGTCCTGATAATCATTTGCTTTTTGTATGCCTTTGTAAAAAATCAAGCAGAGTCTTTCCTTAGTAAATAAAACCACCACACACCAAAAATGATCCACCATCTTGTTGTTTGTCATATAGTCTTTCCTCCCTTCTCAAATCATGCCAGTAGTGGCTCCAACATCTGGACCATCAAGGTTAAACTTTTTCTCCTCACTCCAGATAATTTGTTTTCACTTGTCCATCCAGCTCATTTTATCTTTGGCCCATAGTAAACATTTTGGTTAATGTTACCTATGGTTCCAAAATGGCTGCGCTTTGGTTAGATTCGTTTCCATTAGATTAGCTACATTTTTAGTAGATGTTTCCTTTTTTTGTTTATTTATTTTGTTCAAGAACAACTGTGAATCAATAACTAGTGACATTTGGCAATTGGCGGCCTGCTGGTGGCTCCCCTCCAGGAGGAGTCTGTCTGGACCACAAACAGTCAGAAGCATGGCCATTTTGGAACCATAGGTAACATTAACCAACATTTCTCCTTGTGAACAGACTTTAGTGATGGGACAGGTTTTCTTGACTTATATACAAGATGCTGGTATGTCTGCACAACTCTTTTTTTTAATTTTATTTCATCTACATTAGGAAATGTCGCTGGACAGCAGATCTCCTCCCCAATAAATAACAAGACCCATAACAAAAAAAGATAAAATACATAAAAAGAAAATCAACCAACATAATAAAACAAAATAAAAATTGCAAAAACAAAATAAATTATATAAATAAAATAGAATAAACAGAAAAAATGTCTAAAATATTAAATGTGTATAATGCTAAAAGTAAGACAAAAATTCTTCTAATAGTTACCAACATTACACTCATAGATTGCTGCTAGCTATCAAAATGATGTTTGTTACTGGCAATCTGACAAACAATAGCTCATTTTTTCCCTGTTAGTATAAGCTTTGACGGGCATCCTGTTGATTTCGTTTGACCATATTGATCTTCTAGTTTACTAAAGCCATTACTATCAACCTGCCTTAATATTTTTGAGTCAGTTAATGTTAAGCAAATTGTTTAAATTGTTTTCTGTCTTACAAGGAGACCCTACTGCTTTGGGGAAATGGATTTTGATGATCTTTGGTGTAGAGATAGTACACCATGTGAGTGTACTACCTGTAAAATACTAAAGTGCAATACTCAAATATAATCAAGAAAAACGAACTTAAAGTTTTTTTAGTACTTTATATATAAATTATACGTGCTTTCATTTGAGCGTCCTGTGGCTGAGTGGTAATGATCCTGACTCTTATGCTTGAGTTCCTGGGTTTGATTCTCGTGTATATATATTTTTTTAATTCATAAATACTTATAATGTATTTATTTATTCATTCATTCATTTATTTCTTTTTACTACTT